AAACTATAATGCATAGCTGATATCTTCAAGAAACCTTCTGGCCAATGAGAAGGCTATATTTTCATTGAATGGAGTATTTGTGGTCTATTGTTCTGATTTGCTAGAGTCTGCATGGCATCGACATACCAGCTAAGAGTGTAAAGAAGCATTTCTTTCTCTAATATATCTTTCAACTTTCTCCCATGTGAATGAGGTTAACAGTGTTCAATAAAACCATCAGTGCTGTTGTCTACCTAATGATGTGTCAGACCATAACAGTTAGGTCAACATAAATGTAGTGTACATGGGTGAATCTCACAAGACCTCTCAATAATATGAAGTTTGAAGCCTGTCTATGATTTTGAGATGTTTTTCTAGAAAAAGAATGCCAAAAGTGACATCTCAACAACAACAAAAAAAAAACATCTGAACAATAGTAGCTATTCAAGTATCCCTCCTCAGCTTATACGGTTCATCTACACCGATCCAGAAAGACCTGCCAAACCAACACTGAGAGACCATTCGATACAAGTATAGCCATATGTTTCCTTTAAACCTTTATTGTTCTAATCTGACAAAATGAGTAATGCATCTTTTTAGTCAAATGTAAGTTTGAAGCCTTTTGGAAAAGTTTGAAAACTGCAGTTTTACTGGTTTCTGGTTCATTTCATGGATCTATGCGAATACTGTCCTTATGACATAGGCTACACTGTAAATGATTAAGAACTTCTGGGAAAGCATGAGTGTGAAATCACTATGGAATGAGGCCCCTAAAAGCAGAAACATGCACAGTATATACACACACGTGGTTACTGTAAGGCGATACTATGTTTTGCCCTGCTTTGTGAGGCTGGAGAATTCATTCATTCATGTTAGTTTGCATTAAATAGAAAGCAATAACACCTCTGACAAGTACTCAGTACAACATTTAGCATCATTAAACATCAGATTCAAACACATAATAATATAATAAGAATATATTTCTTGAAATATTTTATGAGCTAATAAGAGTAGGAAATAATTATGTAAACATCATCAAAGCAGAAAGGGAAATATTATGGTATTTATTAATGCATAATTAGTTACAAAAAAAAAGTAAAACCTTTTGGTTAAACCAACCTTACAGAGCAGATTGGCCTCTGAATATTATGTAGAATACTGAAAACAATTTCGAGGTTAAATACATTTAGCCGATATATATATATATAGGCTACTGATAAGATTAGGCTATAGTTTATAATAGCTATAAGTAGTAAGAATAAATAAGAAAATTTAATTAATGATCATTAAAGACCCCCTAAAAAAAGAAAACCTGTTTACTCACCTGTATGAACAGGACAGAAGAATGTAACTGTCAGTAAAAGCATTAATGAGATCCCCATTGTCTCTCAATGAGCAGTAGCCCCTCGTTTCTCTGTTTATTGATGTGGTTTATCTAATGAATGTTTGTAATAAATAAATGGCGCTGTTAAGGTAGAAGAAGTCCTGTTTGTCTGACGCTGCAGGGGAAATGGTTACTTATGGCATTTGTGTTGTGGTGGTTGAACTTGAACCATTCGAATTTGAGGGGTGCGTAGAGTGGGCGGGGCTTAGTGACGGGAGTGGTGTGATTAATAGAGGGCGTGGTCAAAGTTCACGTCCATTAAAAACAACTTTCCTAGTAGAAGTCTAGAGTGATGAGAAATATTCATCAATTACCTGCTTATCGTTTATGGTGGAAAACGTGACGATGATAAGCTAATACCTCTGCACGAGACTTCTGCTGTAAACCATTGTAAACTTCTATCTGTTCTATCCTGTGAAACCTCTCAAGGCTGATATGTCGTAAAACTAAATAATCATAAATCTAAATCACATCCGTATTTGTTACCTTGACATATTTAATATAGCCTAGCCCTACTATCCTACATTAATGGACATATCATATGCGTAGAAAGTAAAAGGAAACCGCAGTCATAAACACATTATAATAATGGCTGTTTGCTTTTCGGTACATTCTCAGTTATCTTTGTTAGAGAGTTAAAAACCTATAAGGCGTTTATGATAAGGATAAGATTTGGTCTATGTATAGAGAGCAACAAACACTTAGACACATTTTAATCTATTTCAAACTTATGGGGTGAACATGATATGTAGGTCTAATTGTCTATGAAAGTGATCAACTTTTTTTTAAATAAAAAAATTAATTAAAAGATGTAAGATTTTTTTTCTTATGGTTTATATATAGCCAATTTTGGGGGCACAGTATCTGTTTAACTACAAGACAAATTAGCAGGGTAAAAACACTTTGTTAAGTACTCATAGCCTTGAACTTGTGGCCCGGACGTCATCAGAACACAAAGTCTTCTTAAACTACCACTGGACATTTACCAAAACAATATGTTTTCCGGTCATTTTTCTGTCCGGTCTTGAGTAGATTTTTTTTTTTTAAATTTCGTGATGTTTTTTTAGATAGAAATTGAGGTCAAGATTTTCTATACACAGCATGCATGCTTGGTCCTGGCATACCAGAAATAATGTTAAGTTACTGAAAGCACACCATAAAGTATAAACAGACTTACTTCTCCTAACTTTGCCAGGAGGAAAAATATTTGCAAGTTGGAGCTGGAGGCCCCCAGAACCAGTTCTGCTAAATTCTGTGTTTATCATCCATGGGAATTAGATCAACGGAATACAAACAAAGTAGTAACTTCACAGTGGCATCCGGGTCTACAAATGAAACCGTTGTGGCCATAAAAATAGTTGTATCTAAGTCATGAGTGTATGATAGTCAAAAAAAGTAACAGCTGATGTGGTCAAAAGTTTGTGGTCTGTAATTTTCATCAAAGCTACATTTATAATCTAAAATACTATAAAACAGTAATATTGTGAAATATTATTGAAATTTACTGTTTTCTAATGTAATTTAATTGTCAAAGCTGAATTTTCAGCACCATTATTCCAATCTTCAGTGTCACATTATCCTTCAGAAATCACTTTAGTATGATGATTTACTGTTCAAGAAACATTTATTATCATCAATGTTGGGAAATTATTTTTTCAGGATTCTTTAATGAATCAAAAGTTACATTATAAACGTCTTTACTGTCACTTTTGACCAATTGAATGGATCTTGTATAAATTGATTAATGTTAGTGTAGTTTTAGTTTATATGTGGGTAAGCATAACAGCTTAGACAGTATAGAGGTAACAGTATACAGTATAGTATACTGCAGTATACAGTCTACAGTATAGAGCTAAACAGTATAGAAGAAATAAACTACAAGACTATGAAAAGATATTGCAAAAATGACTTTATTTTCTGCCAGAACGGTTTGCAAAACACCTACTAGGAAACAACAAGTTTGTGTGCAAATAAAAAGTCCAATGTTTGTGTGTAGAGCAAATGAGGTGAACACGCTTATCTGTTCGCTTTTTCACCTGAAAAACTGCATCTCGCTCCAATCGGAAACCGGATTCGTCACTCTGCCACCCATCACTCACATCAATATAGCTACCGGGAAGCTTCCTTGTCAAAACAGAGAGAGAGAGAGAGAGAGAGAGAGAGAGAGAGAGAGAGAGAGAGAGAGAGAGAGAGAGAGAGAGAGAAAAAAAACGACAATCCAGTTCTATACGTTTTTAAGCAAAACAAGCCATTTTATACTTGGGTTTAATATGCCAGTATCTGATGCTTTATGTTGCCACTATAGGTTCCAAATGCTAAAAAAAATCAATGTGAAAGCAAGAAAAATGAGGGGAAAACAACTCAGCATCAGAAGCAATATCTTATATCAACAATTAAACTCTGCAAATAGAAAGTAGTAGCACATACGTTGTGTTTTCAAGCTTGTTTGGGAGTGTAATGTGTCATTCATGCTTTTTCACTACACATCCTGAACAGTTTACATTAGTTTGTTTGTAGTAACAGCATTGTCTAGATGTTGAGAGCGTTATTCTCTGTTTAACATGCAAACACAATGAATATGAAGTGATTAAAAGAACTGAATAGCCTATGTAACTTAATATCCCATAAAAAAGTCCTTTTTAAAACTTAAAAAAGCATGCGGAGCTCCCGTCTAACCCTCAAAAATGTATTTGGCTGGTATAACTTGTGTAGTCAGATTGCGTCATGAAATAAAAACAGTTAGACTTGATTACCATATGATAAAATCTTTTAAAACTACTCCTCAAAGCTTTTGTACGCCTAGAACAAAGAGAGACTTTCTTGTAACAAACTGAGCAGGTCTGACAAGTCTTTGATAACTGAACAAACATATTTTATAAGCAAACTCCCACCCGGTCAAAATTTCTAACCCTGATTGCTGATTGTGTTCACAATAAGGTCTCGGTTTTCTCGGGGTCCCAGTGGCCTAGAAAAAGACCTCCCCCGGCACCTGATAGGATACAGGACATCTAAACCACGCACTCATGATGAATACTGTTTTCAGCACAGACTGTCAAAGCAAAACCCCAAAGGATTTAGTATGATCTCTTAGCAGAGACAGAAAATATTTAAAGGTGAATCTCTCAAAACCTGTCATGAACACACCTGGGTCATATGCAATCTCAAAATCAATAGAAAGAAACAATTCTACTTTTGCATAAAGATAATTAGTCTTTTATGAACTATTGACAAATATGCACTCCCCCACCCCACAATTCTCAAAACAGGCTGTTTTTTTTTTTTCTAAATTCAGAATAGTTTCATTTTATAATTTCTGGATGAAAACGTGACTTGGACATGTTTTTGTGTCACCGGTGTTGATAACTGATAAGCTCATTTGCCACACCTTAATTTATCACCAGACCGTGCTCTGCGAGTAACAGAAGGTCTCTGAGCAAATCAGGTTATTTAGTTAGCATGTGCAAACATACACTTAGACCTTGATCGGTTGCATACAAATACAATTTATTCACCTCCTCTGGCTTTAGCACATTACATTATATTACAACATTAAAAATCACGAGATCTATGCATGGATATTCCTGAACATATTCCTGGATATTCCTGACAGACAGACAGACAGACAGATTTTTTCTCATTTTTTTTTTTTTTTTTATTGTGCAAAAGTTCATTTATTTCAGTAATTCTTTTTTTTTTTTTTGACTTGACTAACTGGTATTTTTCAAGTGTTATCACATATGGGTGGAATGTTTCTCAGTCTTTAAAGTGTACACTATGTTTCATTCATTGAAGATGTTCCAATAGGTTCACAATAACTAAAACATAGGAACAGGCCAATCAAGTACTTATTTGACTTAAGGAGAGTTCGTTATTTCAGGTGAGATTAAGGTGCGTCAAGCAAGACTTGCAAGATTGCTTAAAAAAATATGGAAACAGATCAGTCAAAACAATATTAACCTGATAAAAGACTTTGATAAAATGACGACGTTTGAGCCACAGGACACATCTGTACAGGGCTACTTTAATGTGGCACACCCCCTGAACCAATCATCTCTTCCTCTTTACTGCTAGTTAAAATATTAAATAAACAGGAATGAACATGTTGAAAGAGTAAAACTTGCTGAAATGAAGAATGTCTCATCTAAATGGCCCCAAACAGCTGTGAACAATGTCACATTTACATAGTTAGCAAGAAAAATCGCAGTATAGATAGGAGTAGCCTATTTTGCCAAATATGTGCAGTAGCCTATAATACATGTATTTTTTACTCTCATATCACTAAAAAAATATTATAAAACATGCGTTATATTAGAGTTGTCAATTTTAGCCTTTAATAATAATACCATCTGACAGCTCTCTGCATGTTTACAGCATTAGTTGAGAGGTTTTTTTTTTTCCTTCGAGAAAAAAATCATAGCTACTGAACCTGGTATTCATCCAAAGGAATCAATACTGAACCAAGATCGGAATCGAGTTACAAGCTTATGAATTGAAATCTTGAAATTTGAGTCAAGCACTAAAAAACTATGGGCTACCGGTTATTGTACCAAACACTGTAACGTGTTAGCCTGGGTTTCCCCATTCTAGTAATGCGTTGTCACTAAACTGAAATTCTGTAATTACCAAATGTTTTGACAATCACAATACACATCGTGATTATTATTATTAATTTATTTTTGATTTTTTCTTAACATTTTAAAAAAATTCACTCCAAGCTTAACTCAAAAGTTGGCAGGCGTATATAGCCAACATTCAATCAGGAAATGAAACGCTGTAAAGATGAGCCTCCATTAATTGTGTCACTACTGTTCTCAAAAGACTAAACATTTAGCAGTTCAGTCAGTGTATTCCTGATGAGGTCAGACTTGTTTAGTTTGACTTACAGCACCACCTTGTGTTAAAAAAGAAAGCATGCACAATAAATAAATAAATAAAAGCCACACGTGTTTGGGATCCCTTACCAAACTCACAGTCACACAACATCTTAGCAATCTTATGCTGTGAATCTGAATTAGGTTATGAATATGGGAACTGTTGTTACCATAGAAAACATATAACATATTTAAAGTCATTAATCATGAAATGCCATATTTCCGCCAGTAAAACAGTCCCTGAAAAATTGTCAGTAAACAACAACAGATTGTTCTTAGGTATATCAGAGGATGCGCAAATAAAAATAGAGACTGGAAATGTTCTCATGTGATGTTATTTATTTATTTTTAACACTATATATGATATTTCGTCACACACACAGGCTATGTCTGCTTGTCTCCCAGCAAAATAGCCGAGACAGACTGCAGAGCAAATGGGTAGAGCTTACGTCTAGTATAGTTATCTTTATCCTAATAGTTTATGGTAATTATATACAATTAATTGATGAATTCATTCTTGGTCAACTGTCAACGAGATCTACACTTCATTTCCAAGGTTTTGTAGCTCCAACTTTACTTTAATTTCAGTATTTTGTATTACTAAAATGAGTTTAGTCTTGTTTCTCCAGTATATGATTTATGGTAATGCAGGTTGGAGGGTCTTTGTGTGTCTCAGTGTCCGAGCCACTTGCCACTGGTGTCACCTGCGTGCTTTCTGAATCATCTTAATTAAAAAGTAAAAACATTAGCAACATTAGGGTATGACAGAAACACTGTTTGTTGTAAAAGATACTCTAGCAGAATGCTGTTTACATACATTTTGCATTTCTGTTTGGTTCTTGCTTGTGACTGGCGCATCTTCATGTTGAGTGACTAATGTTATCAAGAGAGAGAGGAGAATGTTACCTAGCTACTCTGTTATTGTGGTCCAAACCTTTTATGTTTTATTATTTTTATTGTAATTACTTTATTTATTAATTAAAACTGATTTGGCAGCACTGGATTGCTCGACAAATTCTTTCAGAAAACAGCTGAATTTCAGAGAGAACTACAGAGAATTACAGAGAATACTTTAGATTTGTCTGGGTTTGCATACTTAGATAAAGTTTGTATCTGTGGCAATAGAAAGATTAGATTTAAAGAGACTCACCACAGCCTTCCTCATCCGCACCATTTGGACAGTCCTTCTCACCATCACACCTCCATCTCATAGGCAGACTTGTATTGCGTTTATCACCACATCTGAACACAGTAGGACTGGAGGTCTTCACCACTGATCAAAGCAAAAACAAACTGAGATTCATGATATCTGATGGCAGAAGTTATACTTCAGTGCCAGAGTTCTGAAAAAATCCTAATCTTAATCCCATGTAAATGTATGTATAATCCAATGTCTATTTATTAAGTTTCACTTAATGTTGGCCATTTTTTTCTAAGCTAAATAAATAATAATAAACATTTCTTACACTATCTAAAGCATCCAAATACAATAGTAATTTATATGTTTACATTTGCAATGTATTTAATAAAACCGAGTATAAACTCTTAAGTGTTTTAAGTATTTTTACACTGATTCCAAAATATCACCTGTATAAATCTATTTATGACAGATTTGATTATCTGACGCACAGGTTAAAGGCAGGTGCACAGAATAACATGTAAAAAATTTTTTTTTTTTTTTTTTGTACAAATTCTCAACAACCCTCACAAGGTATATGTACTGTATTTGGAAGACACTTTTATTAAAATGAAAATTATGCTGTATTGAAGGGATACATTTTTATCAGTTCATATGCATGTGAATTTTGCATATGGACTGACAACAGCATTTTAATGTCCAAAGGTGCGTTGACACCTGTTGTATCTGTTAGTTTTCTTCTTTTGCAGCCCTTGAGTCTAACACTCACCTAAAGGATTATGATTATACTATGGAAGTCAATGAGACCAGAAACTGTCTGGTTACTGATATACTTCTAAATATCAGAAAATCGGCTGAATGGATTCAAAAACGGTAAAACTCAACTGTTTAACTCTAGGGGAGTTGTAAAATGAGCCTATTTCCCCAAAAAAGTGGAGTATCCCTTTAAAGGACACACACTAGCCATTGTAAGTCCAAAAGACTGAAAGTGCTTATGAAGTGTGCCATTTGGGACAGGGCCCCAATTTTTAACTATGTTCATCTAGTTATGTGCAGAAAAGATGAGAATTAAAGAGATGTCACTCACCACAGCCTTCCTCATCTGCATTATTCGGACAGTCCTTCTCACCATCACACCTCCACATTAAAGGCACACATGATTTGCGTTCATCACCACAGTTGAATTGATTAGATCCGCAGGTCTTGAACTCTGAACAAAGAAAAACATACTGAGAATCATGACATCTGTTGGCAGAAGTTACTGTCTGTTTTCTTAAAAAGTGGGACTGTTACTCATTCAGGACCATGAACATTTTAATGGCCATTTTCATTATTGTGTTAGTCGCAAGGATTATAGTTGTTTTAATTTGATCATTTATTTACATTGTCACATGAAAAACGTTGCTCTGGCTCTTAAATCTCAATCAAAAAGATATTGCATCACAAATTTCAGTAGTTCTTTACCTTCATTTTGCATTTCTGTTTGGTTCTTGCTTGTGAATGGTAGATCTTCATGTTGAGTGACCAATGTTATCAAGAGAGAGAGGAGAATGTTACCTAGCTACTCTGTTATTGTAGTCCAAACCTTGTATGTTTTATTATTTGCATTGTAATTACTATATTTATTAATTAAAACTGATTTGGCAGCACTGGATTCCTTGAATATTTTATATATATATTTTTTAATTTTATTTATTTGCACATGTAACATTTAAAATACAACTTTACAAATCCATTAAGGAAGAAAAAAAAAAACATACTGTGTGAGAAATAAAACCACTTCCCCAAAATCTCAAAATTACATGATCAAGCAAGACAATACAATCAATACATCAATCATTTTAATACAACAAATTAACAAGATAAACTTAATTATATGTTAACATTTTTTTCAGCTCTCTTTTGAAAGAGTTTATAGTGATTTTAGTCTTTAAAACAGGGTCCAAATGATTCCAGAGGGAAGGCCCTCTGTATTTCAGTGTATTAGAGTTGTAGTTCTACAAAAGGGAAGATAAAAATCTTTACAACGCCGTGTGGAATAGGCATGAACATCCGAAGAATACATGAAAAAATTATTAAAAGCTCTGAGCATAATATTTGTCATATATTCACATACTTGTACATAAAAATATTTATTTTGTCAAGATGTTATATTTTATAAATAGCGAAACAGATGATGACAATCTATTTGAATTACTCAATCCTCAAGAATTTCTTTTGTATTAATAAAATCTTATTTAAATATGTTTTACATGTTGCACCCCAAACAATATTACAGTACAGAATGTGGGGATAGAATATACAAATGCTTTCAGCAAACACTTAAAATAATGAAAGATATTTCACTTTGCTGAATTTCAGTGACACTCTGATTGTGCACTGAAGGACCAGATTACAGAGAACACTTTTGATCTATCTGGGTTTGAATACTTAGATAAAGTTTGTATCTGTGGTAACATAAAAATGAGATTTAAAGAGACTCACCACAGCCTTCCTCATCCGCACCATTCTTACAGTCCTTCTCACCATCACACCTCCATATCATAGGCAGACATGTTTTGCGTTCATCACCACAGCTGAACTCAGTGGAACTGCAGGGCTTGACCACTGATCAAAGCAAAAACAAACTGAGATTCATGACATCAGATGGCAGAAGTTATACTTATACTTCAGTGCCAGGGTTCTGAAAAAATGGCAAAATCTTCACTGTTTGTTTTCTTCATCCCATGTAAATTTATGCTCAAGTTTCACTTACTGTTGGCCATTTTTTTCTAAGCTAAATAAATAAATCACAATAATAAACATTTGAAGAGTTCAGATGCTTAAATGGCAATGAAGATTACCTATTAATTGTCATTTAAGTGAAATTACTGAACTTAAATATACAAGCTTGATAAAAATGGTCATTTTAGAATTTCAAATGGCATTTAGAGGCTTTTGCATCTGAACTCTTCATTTATTACACTATCAAAAGCATCCAAATACAATAGTAATTAATATGTTTACAGTTGCAATGTATTTAATAACTAAATTGTGTCCTCTGTTATATAGGGACTACTGACCAAACATTTAGAAGTTTACTTTCCCTTCAGAAACCTATAATGACTAAATGGACAGGACACGGTATGATCTCTTGGACTTTACGCACATGCGGCAGCCATTGTAAGTCCAAAAGACTGAAAGTGCTTATGAAGTGTGCCATTTGGGACAGGGCCACAATTTTTAACTATGTTCATCTAGGTATGTGTAGAAAAGATGAGAATTAAAGAGATGTCACTCACCACAGCCTTCCTCATCCGCATTATTCGGACAGTCCTTCTCACCATCACACCTCCACATTAAAGGCACACATGATTTGCGTTCATCACCACAGTTGAAATGATTAGATCCGCAGGTCTTGAACTCTGAACAAAGAAAAAACAAACTGAGAATCATGATTTCTGCTGGCAGAAGTTATACTTCAGTGTCAGTGAAGCAATGTCCTCACTGTCTGTTTTCTTAAACAGTGGGGCTGTTACTCATTCAGGACCAAAAACATTTTAATGGCCATTTTCATTATTGTGTCAGTCGCAAGGGTTAAAGGTGTATTAATTTGATCATTTATTTGTGTTGTCATTTGAAAAACGTTGCTCTGGCTCTTAAATCTCAATCAAAAAGATATTGCATCACAAACTTCAGTAGTTGTAAGATTGTAAGCATGAGCTTTACCTTCATTTTGCACTGTTTGGTTCTTGCTTGTGACTGGCACATCTTCATCTTGAGAAACTAATGTTATCAAGAGAGTGAGGAGAATGTGACATATCAATCTATCTGAACACACATTGTTTTCTGTTAAAAAATGTTACAAGTGCATTGCATGCGTAAACAATTAAGAGTTGAAAAAACTACACTGTTCTTACCTTTATTCACATTCTCAGTAACATTAAAAGGACGAGCAGTTGAAGTAGGATCTTGTGATGTGCTTGCTGCTTCACTCCCTACAAGTGTTTCTGGAACAGTGTTTAATGTGTTAAATGCATTTTTTTTTTTTTAGTTTATTATCATAACATCTTGAAGTTATTACCAAGTTTGCCCTTATCAACATTTGGATGCAAGATCCACACAATCTGTTTCTGCAGTGTACATACATACATACATACATCACTTATTATTGTATTCCATATTTTAATTTTATCTCTAAAGTTTTGTTTCTAAAAATTTGTTTCACATTTTTCAGGTAACCCCAGCTTGGAAATTGTTTCTCACATGTGGGGTTATGCAGACTACCGTGCAGCAAGCCTCTATTACATTAACGCTAAACAACATCGGCATTCTAGGTCGCCTATCTCGAACAATTTTGTTCTCTCCGGCTCTCTTTATAAAGAAATTGTGATAAGTTGTTTTTCCTCAAGTTGTTTACTTTTCATGTCCTCTCTGGCGAAAGATAGAAGGCGTGACGAAAGGTTTTAGCAATTGGTCGAAATCTGACAGTTAGGGTTGAGGGGTTTGGTTTTGTGAGGAAACCTCAATCCTTTAATGAATCGACAAATCTTTTTTACAACATGTTAGACACTAAACAATTTTTGTTGAGAATGCTAAGTAGATTTTACCTTGATAATAGATAGAATTCCTTCTTTTCGCGACAGGTAGGACTAATTTACGGCATTACCATATTAGACTATTTAATGTTTTATAGTAATATTATATTGTCTAAAGGCAGTAAAAAAAATACATTTGTTTGGTTTACAGTTTAAGTGACTTGAATGAGTATTATAACTGCATGCTATGCATTTTAATGAATAAAGAGAAAAGGAACAATTTTATTATAAATATTGGGTTATATTGTATGGTGTTTGATGAAAATAAAAAAAAGTGTTTCTTTCCACTTGCTTAAATAGCAAAAACTTTCAAGAGAGGAAGACCTAAATTTTACGTAACTCTTGTAATGTAATTCAAAATGGGCTTGCCCATGTTATAAATGTACATAAATAATAATAATAATATGTTTACTCACTTGTTTGAACAGGACAGAGCAAAGTAACTGCCAGTAAGAACATAAATGGCATCCCCATATTCTGATTAAGCAGGTGGACTTCTTCTCATGAGTCTGATCCTGTTGGTAAGTACGTGAACACTATCAACCTGTCTAATTTAAGGGTCCAACCACCCACCTAAAAATAAAATAAAAAAAATTCCAGTATTGTGAAATAGGAGAGAGTCTACCATGGGGGGTGGGGAGAAGCTAAAAAAAAAATGTAATTTAAAAAAATGTAATCTAGTTCATTCAAAATAATTTATTTTAGATGGGTCAACACAATTCAGTTGGTTTAGGTAAAATTAGTGAATGAGTGAAAATAGCATGTTCTTAATTATATAATATTTACACTTAAGTGAAAATCTTTTGTTGGTCCAACATAACTTTGTTTAATAATTTACAGACATTTAATTCATTTCCTTAAGTAAAAAAAAAAAACATGGTATTTATTTAAATGGGCCGCAAAGCAAACAACCATGTTGATCTGTATTTGTGCAGACTGACAAGTAGGGTATAAGTTAAATAAACTCTAGAAATCTTTTAAATGTGAAAGTGAGAAATTGGTAGATGAAAAGAACTAAATTATAGTTACATGCTTACCAATTAAAAGCCGATTGTGTGGTGTGTTACGCAGCACGTTTGAGCTTCCGCAAGAACCAATGAGGTTCATTCTCATGTAACGCAGCACATTAGAGCTTCAGCAAGAACCAATGAGGTTCATTCTCATGTTATGCAGCATGTTTGAGCTTCAGCAAGAACCAATGAGGTTCATTCTCGTGTTACGCAGCACTTTTGAGTTCAGCAAGAACCAATGAGGTTTGTTCTAGTGTTACGCAGCACGTTTGAGCTTCCACAAGAACCAATGAGGTTCATTCTCATGTGTTACACAGCATGTTTCAGCTTCCGCAAGAGGTTTTTTCACACACGTCTCGCATGCTTGGTTGAGCTTCTGTTTGTTCTATGCTTACATGTGAATAAAAGCCTAAATTAAATTAGTTCATCATAAAGCAACCAAGTCCCTTCAGAAAAATTGGACTAAACCACTCAATTCATATGGATTAGTTTTACGATCTCTTTATTAACTTTTGGAAGAGTCAAAGTGGTTTGCAGCAGTCTATTGAGGAACAGAAAGCTCTCAGATTTAATTAAAAAAAATCTTCATGAACAAGTTTTACAAGTTTGGAACGACATAAAGGGTAATCAGTGACAGAATCTTCATTTTTTTTTGTTTGAACTCTCTAAATTTCAAATATATTTTATGTATGAAATTAAGCAGTGACAAAATGTTAAAAAATCAGGTTACTTTAAAAATCCTTTTTTTTGTGTGCATTAAATATTGGTCTTTTATTTCAAGAAGAATAAGAGGAAAAAAAAGAAAAAAAAAACACTTAGGAATTTCCAGTGCCAGTTCTCCAAAGTTAGGCAATGTTAGGATATCTACAAACGTCACTAAACCAACAGTTCAGTGTTTGACTTTCTGGAGAAATGGCCTATGACTAGCAAAACAAGTTAAAGTTACAGTGTCATCTGTCTACCTGTATGCATCATCAATAAGCTGTATATTGAATTTGGCCTGTTAATATCACTGGCACTGCCTGTGCCATACTACATTTTTTGTACAAATAACTGGGAGGCAATGGAGGGCATTCCCAAAAAGTGTGTGACATCAGATGAAAACTATGAATTGGTCAATCTCTACTCACAACTATATGCAGTTTACCAGTTTTGACCAGTGTGCAAAACAACTGTGAAGCATCGAGTATTTCTGAGACGCTTTTATTGTGCATTTTGGAAATCCAGTGACACTGACAGTACAGAATCCTACACCCTATTCTCCCCCATTTCTCCTGACAAGGAGGAAGTACCTTTTATCCTGTTTGCAATCTTAATTTAAACAGAGAAATGAAGAGAAAAACGGAAAGAACTAACTGGCTGCGTTTTCCACAAACAACATGCGTTCTGGGGTGGGGGATGAAGGGGTGACGTTCAAAACGCGGCTAAAATCAAGAAGACATTGAAACATGATCCACTTTTACCGGTCCACTGAGTAAGTCTGTCAAATATCTTATGTCACGTCCTTGTGAAAAATCATAAAAACAAATATGGAAAGAAAAGACAAAAGCTCAGTCCGTAAACTGTCTTGCTATACATAAATTGATATTGTCTGCTTAAATATGCAAATGGAGGGGCATTCTTCTTTTCTGCTTTTTATAGTGTCATTTTCTCTTTTAACCAGTGTCCTCTCTCTAAAAAAAGGGTAAAACTAGGCCCTTCAGGAGAGGGCATCTGTTGAATCTGTTGCAGAAGTGAGCGAGAGACATAAATTGGTCCTGAAGGAGGTTTAATCCTCTTCGCTGCCACTAGCCGAATGCTCCTGTACGAAACAATTGAAAAACAATTAGCATAAGAGAACAACAAGAGGGTAATATCTTAAAGAGCCCCTATAGTGGATTTTTGAAAATGACTGTTCATATGGTGTGGAATACAGCTCTAACGTCTACTTGTGATCCGATCAACCATAATGAATCTTAATATCAGGTGTAAACAAGGCCATTGAACCACCAGTTTTAAAGTGTAAAACGAGCAGCACTGAATCACTTGCATTATTTAGACTCACAGTCATGGATTATTTTCCTAAAAATCTTTGTTTGCATTTATCTGAAGAAAGATAATGCGTCATACACATTGGGTGGGGATGGCATAAGGATTGAATGAACTCTCTCTTTAAGTTCAATATTCATAATTCATAAGTACCTCTTCCTGGTCGTCCTCACTCTCATCGTCGCTAACGACAGGTTTAGGGCGCGAGCTGCGTCCAGTTCGGCGTCTTCCCTTCCCTCTCTCCACCTTGTCCTTTCGACTCAGCTTTATCTTCACCTTCACAGAACGAGCTAAAACACATATACATGCGTTATGCGTGTTAATAATGTACTCAATTCAATTATATCTCAGTTGTACATGCATGATACTCTGCTTCGAAAATAGTTGAATTTCACAAAAATGAATTACAGTTACATCGATACTTACATTCAGACTCCGATCCTTCGTCTACCTCGTCCTCTTCCTCCTCACTCTCTTCTCCCTCGCTCTCTACTTCTTTCTCGATCTTCTGCCGCACGCTGGTGAACACAGACTGCAGCACGATAGAGTCCTCGTAGATCTGAAATATAATATTTCATATCGAAATCAGCTAAATGAAGTATGTCTAACAAGCTACTAGGGTTATTTTCAACAAGTTAAAACAAACTGAAATGAGAAAAAAAAACTATACAGACATTTACAAAAATTAAACAAAATGAATATATCTTTAAAATAAAAATATATATAAAAATAATAAACACTACAATAGTAGCTATATCTTAGATATATTTAGCATAAAGTGAAGGGAGAAAGTGAACCTAATTGTCAAAGTCATGATGCAAAAACATCTAAATAGTCCTAAAAATAACTTTAAAGATGCCCTACGAACTACAAACTGATCCATTAGTGCAATTAATTTAACAACAAGGATGATGAATATTACCAGTGATCCCTCCAGGTTGAAGGTCTGAGCGTTCTGGCAAAGCAGCATGACGTCTTTCTCCAGGTCGTTCAGACTGCGGTACTTGTGGCTCCTGATGCGCTCCTGTACACAACAGAGAACAGGATTAAACACTTGAATCTTTATTTACTAATACATTATTATGAATTACCTATTGAGATTTAGTTAATGTATTTCAATGGGTGTTTATGAACCAGCCAAAGCATTTACAAGGACTAAACAAAGTTTAAGTAAAAAAAACAAACAAACTTTAAATGAATCAATTAAACGAATAGTTGACAAACCTTAATCTTCCTGAAGTCCACAGGTTTGCGAATGAGTTCGTAATATTCCGGCAGCTCTTTACGAGACGGTAGTTGAATAAACACCTCACTCAGTTGCCTACCATTGCTGTTGAGAAATACAGTGACAAAACAATATTACAAAATATTATCTAAATGACATCAATTAAAGCATAAAAAAATCTCTTTAAGCATGGAAACACTGCATGTATTTCTGTAAGGCTGTTTGTCTAAACCCTAAAAGGTTTAATCATTATGGATAATATAATATAATAGGGTTCAACATAATTCACACAAAAAATGTAAACCCTTAAAATTAGGTTCACACACAACCATAACTTTTTAAACACTTTCACAAAATGTAATTTTGCAAGAAGTCTGGAATGCCCCTTTTTTACGTGCTTTCTTTCACCTATCATGGATTTTTGAAAATAAATGACTGTTCATGTAGTGTGGAATAATAGCTCGAAGGGAATGAAAACATCCTGCAAAGATTTATATCTGAAAGTGCACCTTATATAAAGTTATTGTCTTTCAAAAGTGAGAGTCGACTCTGAGTCTATGAAATGAATTGTTTTTGAAACGAGTCATTAGCTGGTTCGTAGTGACGTAGATACGAAACATAAGCATATTGGCCGCGCCCAGTTACTGCGCACACAAACGGAAGTGTAAACTTGAAGTCTACACATTCAAATACTTCAGCTGAATCACATCATGTTGAGAAGACACTGTGTTCTACAATGCAAAGACAGTTCAGCCACTTTATTTTCATTTACCAGGGACAAGCATGCGAAGAATCGGTGGTTAGAGATCAAATTTGCAACGATACCACAACAGTATAGCCCGAACCTTGTGTTCATCATTTTAATGACGAATCATTCAAAAACATAAATGAATTCAAATGTGGATTCACAAGCCGGTTGTTCCCGAAGGAGGTCTCAGTACCCAGTGTATATGGATCAGCTTCCTCCTCCGAATCACAACCTGTAAGTATTATTAATAATTGTTGCTTTTATGGGTTTTGTAGCGTCGGGGCGCAAAGAGGGAAGGTGCAATAAGTATGTGTGTGTGTGTGTGTGTAAGTTACGCTCAGCGCAGCTTCTAGGTCTCCAATGTCAATTTTTTTTTAAATATGTGAAATATTTGTCGCTGTTATTGGAGTTGACAAGAATAGAGCATCTTGTAGTACTGCAGTGCTTTATCAATATGTTTATGCGTTGGGCTAACAAACAATAACTGACTGGGTCATCTGACCAATCACCACCGATTAGCGTC